AGTGGCTCCCCACTCCCAGTTCTGAGTGCAGTTATGGTCCTCTAGGAGAGGGGAGCTAGGAATCACCAAAGGATGACAGGTATGGGCCAGTTTAAAAGGGGTCTCACCGGGCATGGTGGTACCCACCTGTAATTCTGGTGTTCGAGAGGTTGAGGCAGGAGGATTGAGTTTGAGGCTAGCCTTGGATACATAGCAAGGTCCTCTCTCAAACAAGAGGTTTCTAGGATACCCTATTCAGAAGAGTGAGTCCGATTTGAGGCAGTTCCTCCACAGGCTCAGCCTGCAGGTCTGTTAGCCCTGTCCCCTGGTTGGTCCTGTCTCCAGCCAAGACAGTTTCCTGGTCTTCAAGACCAGGTGAATGAACAGGGACTTTGAACTTGCTGGGGATTGGTGAAATGCTGGCCCCTTAGAGGACAGGGTGCCCACTACTTACTCCCCAGAGCCAGGATTCTAGCTTATACCCCCACCCACCCCCACAAGCCTCTGTCTGGCCTTCTGCTACCCCTGAGTCACAGGCAGGGTTCTCCTGGGACCCCTCACTCCCAGACCCATGGGTCGGAGGTCGTGGCACCCACAAGACCCACCATAATCCCCTATGCCAGGGACAGTGCTCATATCTCCTGTCCCCTCACTCTGTGCACCCGTGGGATTTGGCAGACCTAGCTCAAGCCCTGGGGAAGACTCATGTCCCTCTGTCAGTATCACTAGGAAATGAGGGTTGCCTGGTAATGGGCACCAGGATTCCCGAATTAAAGGTCAGGATTCTAAGCTGGGGCGGGGTCCCACAAGGTCATAGTTCCATCTTGAGGGTTCCCATGACCCTGCCCCATTCACTTAGTGATGAAACAGCCTCAAATGTTACCCTTGCCCCAGGGATTCTGGGGCTTGGACTGGAGATGTGGCTGTGAGGAGTCTGTGGCCATGGTGTGGGGGCTTTTGGTCAGTGAGGGATGGGGATTGAGGGAGGGATCCCAAGAGGGACCTTAGGCTTGTGCAGTGGTTGGGAGGCGGTCCCCAGCCTACCCCATTTGGGAATTGGTCTCAAGTGGAAAGTCCTCTGGTGGCCAGGAGGGGGTGCAACAAGCTGAGCCTCAGGCTGCCTGGGAAAGGGGAGGATGGAATGAATCTGGACAGCCCTTGACCAGCCTTGGTGGAAGACAGAGATGGACGCCAAGGGGTCTCTTGGACCCTTCAAATGCCTCAGTAGCCTTCCTGGGATCTGGGTTGGGGTGTCCTTGAGTATTTTCTGTTTGGGGCCCCATAGCAGGGTTCAAGTGCACAGTAGGATCCCACAACCATCATCCTCAGGTAGTACGTTCTAGGGATGGCACTGTCTTTGCACAGGAGAGGAGATTGCTGAGGACGGCCAGGGCTAGGTGGGCCCCAGAACCTCTTCAGGATTCCTTCCCAAGGGGCCTTTTGGGTGACACTGGGAAAGTGGGTGCCTGGGGTCCAGGTGCAGCCATGGTACAATGTGGATGTAGAGCCTCAGGGTCTGGTGTGTTTGAGCCCTGTGCCTGGACTGTGTGGGAGGCGAGATTCACAGACTGCAGGCCCTCCAGCTCTGCATCCTAGCTGGGGCCCTGGAAATGAAGGGGCCCTGCAGAGAGGCTTCTGCTCCTGTGCCATCTGCCTTAGGTCAGGCTCTGCCTCCCAAAGGGCCTGGGGACCCACAGGACAAAGGGTGAGGCCCTGGCCAAGGGAAGGGAGGAGTCCTGTGGGCGCTGAGAACCGCCTGGCAGAGCTGCCTCACCCTGGCTGGCCTGCCCACACATGCAGGCTCCACCTGGATTTCTGAGATGGCAGGTGGAGCCTTGGGCCATCCAGCGTCTCAGGGGATCCTAGCCCTGGTGCCTTTCAGACAGGAAGCCCAGCTGCTAGTCCCAGGCCAGGTTGCTGTGGGCTGAGCACAGAGCAGGCTCTGGATCTTGCCCCAAATCTGTGGCCGTTCCTGGACCCAGAGCTCCTTCTGTCACCTCAGACCAGTCTGGGGTCCCACCTCAGTGTGGACCAGGGATGTCCAGAGTATCCTGAGCTATTCTGGACCTGGGGAGAGGGTGCTGAGGGGAGAAAGGTCTGATTAGGGGGTGCCTCTGAGACTCCATTATTCATCAGCCTCAGCATCTAGTTTCTGAGTATCAGTTTCAACAAGTCAGCCCTGACTTACAGCCTGAAGCCAGGCTGGGCAGGGGAGGGACCCCTTCCCTGGGGAGTCAGGAGCCAGGACCTCAGGCCTGTTTCAGCTCTTTGCTGTAGAATTAGGTGGGAACCCAGGAGGGGAGGCTTCTCCCATATCCTGGGGCTTCTTCCCTCTCTCCACTCTGATCCTGCACTCTGGCCCTGGGGCAGCAGGGGCCCCTGGTCCCCTAAGGAGCGCCTCCACCCTGGTTGGAGTTAACCCTGACTAAGTTAACCAGAGCCCTGTTACTCAGGAGACCAGTTTAGGTGATGGGACTTAGTTACCCCATACCAGTGGGATTTCCTCTAAGTTGCCTTTATCAGCTCTCTCCACAAGAGGGTGGTCTTCAAGACCCTGTTGTCCACACCACCATTTAGTCTGTGCCTGTGACCCAGCCCCACCCTGTGGCTGAGGCTCAGGGGCAATGTTTCCAGGCACAGGCATCCATTTTCCCCTGTGTATGCTGGTGATCTTGGGGCAAGTCCCACATCCTCTTTAGGCCTTAGGTTCTTCCTGTTAAGTTGGGACCAATCACTGTCTCCTTCTTAGCGTCTCTGAGAGAGTGAGTGTGATTTGCTGCTCTAAACTCCTGGGACAGGCTTTGGGACGCTCAGTGAAAAGTTGTAGCTGTCCGCCTGTGGGGCCGGGGCAAGGGGCCGGGGCAAGACCACTAGAATTTGAATGGAAACTCACCTGTCTGAGGCCAGCAGGCCCAAAGTCACACACAGATCCTAGGAAGAGGGAGCAGGCCTTCTGGGCCAGCAGTGGGGAAGGTTCTGTGGACACTTAGCTGTAGACAGGATATCCTGACCGAGACCTTCCATGCTCCAAGTTCTTCCATGGCTGATGACCCTTCCTCATGTGCCTTCATTTGTTCATGTATTACATTCATCTGCATGGAGCACGTGGCTGTGAGCCAGGACTGTCCTGAAGGCTGAGGACACAGGGTGAGCCAGACACCATGGCCTTGGCCTCTGGCGGGAAGAGAGCAAGGAAGCAGAATGTCAGGTGGTAATAAAAGCTGAGAAGGAATTAATTCGACATCAGGGGCTCAGAGAGGGAGGCTGAGGGGTTATTTTGAGGACCCCTTGTGGAGGTGGGAGCTGGGGCCCAGTGCCAACCATTTGAAGACTGAACACATACTGTTCCAGACAGAGCATGTGGGGTAAGGGTGCCTAGCTTGGGGGTGGGGTTGTAGG